TAACTCTATCAAAACACAGCAAACCCGATTCAAAATCGAGTCATTCGGTCAAAACATTAGCACTACTTTTCTATCCAACAGGAACATATAGTCAATCATAGCACAGTGACTGTCAAAATACTAACAGTTGATGACTTTACAAAGACATTACAAAAACGTTACAGTTCTACCTGCATATAGACAATATAAAAATCCATTGTTTTTTGTAATTTAGTTACCTTCAACTGAAACCCATTTTACATTTTTAAGTGTTGAATGTGTTCATTCTTGGCAACATAGTACTGTCTAAAACTGAATGAGTCATTACTTTATAGAATGTACAATAGAAAAAAAAAATAGGGTCCCCTATGCAGAAATTCAATTGGAACCTTGATTGAAACTGCTCTCCAGTGGGTGGGGGTTGGATGTGGATGGTGCCCCCATAGTAGCTGATGCCAGTGATCAACAAAACTTCCCACATACATGGTCTTTGGTTACTATGCAAGCTTGTTTCCATCACAGAATAAAAAAGTAAAAACAATAATTGTGACCTTTTTATCTCACAATTTGGACTTTTTTACATCTTGCAATTCAGACTTTATCAGCATTATGAGATTAATTGACAATCGCAAGAAAAAAGAATTGTGAGAGAAAAAAAAAGTCACAATTACCCTTTACCCTTTATATTCCACTGCAGAAATAAGCTTTCATAGCTTCCACATGTGTAAGGGGAAAAAACAAACAAACAAACATAAAAATGCACAGTCCAGCAACTATTCTTACTCCTCTCCCTATACCTCTTCTCCCTTTTTCTGATCCAACTACTCCTCTCCCAGGCATTATTTTTTCTCTATGATTCTTTGTGTTGTTCTGCATCCACAAAACCAATTAAATGTTGATGTAAAGAAAGCGCATCAACACCTGACTATTCCTTCAATGTGAATGGAATCAGCTATTTCTAAATATTTCAGTGATCCGTTACTTAAAAGTGCTTATCAGTTGTTACAATATTTTATATAGAGAGATTTTTTCAATACCTTTGAGGTGCTGTTGTTGCAGAAGTAGAAGCTTTATATTATATTTAAGGTTTGGAACATTAGGTCTTCATTTCTGACATGCTATGTTTTAAGCATTTGTAAATAAGACTAAAAAGATCTGTGATTTTGGTTTTGGGTAAGTTTGTATGAAAAGAAAATTTAAACATTTTAGAAACATGGTAATTGACTGCATATTGTGTGAAAACAACACGAATTGTGTTAATGGTATGGTCACAACAGACGGATGTTGTACTAATTGTATTTAGTGGTTTGAAAATGTGACAACAGATTGGACAAAAGGATGTTAGCAATTGTAAAAAACTGTAACTAGTTGCTTCTTTGCATGCATATTACTAGCATAATGGCTATTTATTAGTACTTATAAAGCACATATTCTACATCCTTAATCCTACTCAATACCTAAACTTAACAACTACTTTACTAAGCAGTAATTAGGAGTTTGAGGCAAAAGTCGTAGTTAATAGTTAATTAATAGCAAGAATTGGACCTTTAAATAAAGTGACCAAATGTAAAAATATAAAATAAAATTAATTTCTTTCAAATTACTTACCCCAAACTTTTGATATATAGGCGATTTGTATTTATTTTATTTATTTATTTTGTGAGTGAAACTTTGTGACTTTTATTACACTACAACACTGATGATATTCTTGGACGTATCATATAAAGAATTTCAGCACCCTGAAATCGTTTGAAGTACCATCTAATTACACGAATGTACTATGGTACCACCACAATACTTTTTTGTATGGTTCCAAATATGGTAAATGAATATGGCACACATCCAGTATAATGATAGCCTTTAAATCACAATACCATGGTCTAATAATGTTGTAAGTAGGATAATAATACCACAGTATTCTTACAATACAATAGTATTCATTCTTTGAGGTGCCTTGGCGTACCATACCACAGTACATAAAAATTGTAATCTTTCAGTACCATGATACCCTATATATTATACAAAGTACCATGGTATTACCATGTTTTTCGGGCATGTCCTGTCAAAACATAACCCACCATATAGCCTCTAGATGTGGCAAGTCAGGTGACATCTAAACTCTGACAGTCCCATGACAACAACAGACAGACCACTGAACGCTACCGAGAATTTATGTTTTTACAGCATGTGAAAGACCAGAAACATTAATCTTACAAATCTCACATGCAGACATGAACTTTTGATAGGGTTTCATGAGAGGCAGACGCAGTGACGGAAGTGTTTTATCACCATGGTAACGCAGGCCCCCAGTGTTTTCAGTCACAATGGCAGAGTCAACCTGGGTCCCTCGGGGAACTTGTCATAGGCAATCTCACACTGGCTTTGACATGTCGTGACACCGCTTGACCAGATTAAAAAGATTATACGCCGTCTCCCTGGTTTTCTCTGAAGGTCAGCTCTGTTTAGTGTTACAGCCCTGGGTGAGCAAACATGGCAACCAGCCTTAAATCAACAGACCTGCGCCTGGCAAATTGTCACGACTCACAACAGACTGGACTGAATGTCACCGCTGTTCTACAGACTGAGAAGTATTGTGTGTGAAGTTGGTCATGACAGGATAAAATGAAGAACTACGCTTTAAGCTGAGTTGACTTGACGTGACGCATGAGTGGTTGCGTATTTCCAACACCTGCTCTGGAACGAAGAGTCATCATCTGGGAAGTGATCCCAATAATGCATTTACTTGCAGTCATATGTACAATCTTTAATACCAGATGCATTTTACAGAAATAAAACTTGGATGACATTCAAAACAGGCACGCTAGGTGTCACGCTCATAGCCTGATTCGCTTTTCCTCTTCTTATTTTTTTGAGTTCCTTCCTCTGATTTCTCACAGCTGTCTGTTGACAAATGTGATGCCTGTGAACTTGGAAAGGTCTGCCCAGAAGCAAGTACTTGTCGAACGGTCACATTTACCCGAGACGTCTGCAAGTACCAGAAGCAAACATCCCAATCCTCTTCGGACACGCTTTGGATGATGTCATCGCCCTGCGCCTCCGTCTCTAGTCTCTGGCTCAGGCAGGGTGGCAGCATGTTTCCAGCCGGGGCGGAGATGATGCAGGGTACTGCGTGATAAAGTAGGCGGCTGGGTCCTGACATCACCATTATGTCACCGCTGTTCATGAACATGGCTGTGGGGCGGTCTTCCCTCTTAGTCCCGCCCAAAAGGAATACAGCAGTCTGCCCAAAACTAACATTAAATGTGAGAAGCACAAAAGGGTTTATGAATGCATTTCTTATGCTGTCTTTATGGAAAAGATGCCACATGCATTTTATTTTTTAAAGTAATATTAGACATTGACAACCTTCTGTATCTCCAATCACCAATGCTGCATTCAAGTCATGTCAGAATGATCATATTTATTAGATGAACGCTCATTAACATCACCATCATGTCATAATGACCATTATTTTTGGGGAATTGCTATTCAAACACTACAAAAAATAAGTATTGATTAAACTCTGTGGTCAACAGCCACAATTAAAGGTTTTTTTTTATTATTATTTTAAAATTATGACCAAAATCTTTCTATTTCTGCCATGATTCTTTTCTTTCTTTTTTATTTAATTGGTGATTTTCTTTGAGTCCTGACTTTCAGATTTGGGAGCATGTCAGTTAAAGAATCAAGGCAAAAAATATGGTATTGGTCATAAATTGATTAATTTGAAATAAAATACATTTAAATAAAGTGTCCGTGACTAAAATTAATTTCCCATCATTCTCTGTGCAGCACAGAAATAATAAAATACATACACTATTGTTTAAAAGTTTGGGGTCGGTAAAATCAGTAAAACAGTAATATTGTGAAATAGTATTACAATATAAAAGGAGTCTTTTTTCTATTTTAATATATTTTAAAATTTAATTTATTCCTGGGCTGGAAAAGCTGAATTTTCACAAGTATCTTAAGTGTTACATGATCATTTTAATATGCTGATCTAGTGCTCAAGAAACATTTCTTCTTCTTCTTAATGTTGAAAATGTTTGTGCTGCTTGTGGACACAAAAACATTATATTTTCCAGAATATTTTGATGATTAGAATGTTCAAAAGAACAGCATTTATGCTGTCACTTTTGATCGATTTTAATGTATCCTTGCTGAATAAAAGTATGAATTTATATTAAAAAAAAAATCTTATTGACCGCAAACATTTGAATTGTAGTGTCATGTGCATTCTTTCATCTTTAGAATGTTGCACTAGTTCTAAAAAAAGCTTCCTGTCTTTATTTGAAGCACACAACATTCAATTGCCCAGCACATCCATGTTAATTAATCCAAGCCCACTTGTCACACTCATAAGTATTATGAGTCAGTATATGGAGCTAAAATTAGAGTAAAAAATATTCCTCACCTAAAAGATAACAAAGGTCGGGTATGGTCAAGCTCTGATTCGTCAACATGGATTCCAAGCGACGAATCAGATCGGTAGTAGTTGAGAATGCCCGCCTCTGCGTTAAAGCCAGGAAAGCCACAGGCTGCTGCCACTTTGTGAGAAAGCGAGTGAAGTTCTTTGGGGAAGGGAGTGTAGTGGTCTGGAGAGTAAGTCTGCAGAACAAAAGTATGTCAGAATAGTATGCCTCATTATAGTACAATGGCATAAATGCCTCTTATTATAAGTAATCATTTAGCAGTCGCTTTTGTTTAAAGCGACTTACAGCACAGGTTAGCTCAAGGGCACAATGGCCAACCTAGATAATTAACCATCACACCACGCCACCCTGATGTATGGAAGCTTATTTCCACAACAGAATACATTTTTTTTTTAAAGGTAACTTGCAACAAGTTAATATATCACAAGTCAGACTTTTTTTGACAATAAACCAAGATATAAACTTGTAAGTGTGAGAAAAAAAATGTGAGATAAAAAGTTTATTTTTTATTAAATGGCATAAATAAGCTTCCACCCTGATGCTCTTTGATCATGAGATGTAAAAAAAAAAAAGGATGTTTTGTCTTTGTGGCAAAGTGCAAATATGACTTTAACATCATGGTTGACATGATAAAAGAGCTTTTGCAGCATTCTTTCTCCTCTGTGGCTTTTGCAGTGGGTCATTGTCAGCGGTTATTCATAAAAGTGTAATCAATGGACAATCATATGAGCACAGCGTCTCCAAAGAGCTGAATTAGAAGCTTACGCGTCTGATCCGAGCGGGGTGAACGCCTCAGCCTTCAATTCTACTTAAAGGGAGGAGGAAAGAGTCTCTGTTTAAAATTCACTGATTGCTGTCAGACGAACGGCGGTGTCAAACTAACATCAGAGCTAATGAATCCGGTGTGCACCTCCTGACTGATTTAATAGGACAGAAGACTAAACACTTTTATGTAATTAGCATATAAACGAGACAGGCAGACATCAGGCCTGTACAATTAGAGATGAAATGTCCTGAAAGGAGCAAATAATGCTAAGAAGATCCTGGACGATGTTTTCTCCCTCTCTTTTTCTCTCCAGGAAAAAACAATAGGCTCCACAGCAAAATAATAATAAAAAAATTAATTAAATAAATAAATAAATAAAAGTACATACTGATATTGTTTAGACTAATTATAAAACATACATATTGTACACGACCCTTCAAAGATTTGTATTTAGATTTGTAATGTTTGAATGCTCACCAAGGCTGTATTTATTTGATAAAAAAATACAGTAAAAACAGCAATATTGTGAAATATTTTTACAATTTGAAATAACTGTTTTCTATTTTTATATACTTAAATAGCAATTTATTCCTGTGATGGCAAAGCTGAATTCTCAGCAGTCATTACTCCAGTCACATGGTCCATCAGAAATTATTCTAATATGTGACCCTGGACCACAAAAGCAGTCATAAGGGTCAATTTTGTGTAATTGAGATTTATACATCAACTGAAAGCTGAATAAATAAGCTTTCCATTGATGTATGGGTTGTTAGGATAGGACAATATTTGGCCGATATACAACTATTTAAAAATCTGGAATCTGAGGGTGCAAAAAAATCTAAATATTGAGAAAATCGCCTTTAAAGTTGTCCAAATGAAGTTCTTAGCAATGCATATTACTAATCAAAAATTAAGTTTTGATACATTTACGGTAGGAAATTTACAAAATATCTTCATGGAACATGATCTTTACTTAATATCCTAATGATTTTTGGCATAAAAGAAAAATCGATAATTTTGACCCATACAATGTTTTTTTGGCTACTGCTAAAAATATACCCCAGCGACTTAAGACTGGTTTTGTGGTCCAGGGTCACATAAGCTGATTTCGTGCTCAAGAAACCTTTCTTAAGTTTCTCAGTGTTGAAAATGGTTGTGCTGCTTAAGATTTTTTTAGTGGAAACTGTGAACATTTTACAGGATTCTTTAATCTCATTGTTACATGGTTGTAGTCATTGTTAAAATTACGTTAAAAAATTTAATAATAAAATTTTGTGTTAGACGCACAGCTAAAGCACATTAGAGAGTGAAAGTAGTACCTTGGAGTTCCAGTCATAGTGGTAACCCAGTGTCACCCAGCGCAGCTTTTCTAGCAGAGTTTTGGGCTCTCTTTTCCCACAGCCTTTCCTCCTGCAATAATACACAGACCCATTCAGATAAGGAACAGTTGTGAGATGGATCAGGTGCAGTGTAGCAGCGCAAACCATTTACACAAATGTTTTGTGATAAAGAGACTCTAACAAACTGCAAATCCTCAAATCGACCATCTAAGTCCCAGTACAATTACCACAGACCTAGCCACAAGCAAAGCATCTATGGGGATGAAATATGCTCAGTAGAGGATGGAGATACTCAAAATACACATATATAACATAGGCCTATGTTTTATTCTAAAAAATTGCCTAAATGCACAAAAAATAATATACAATAAATTATATTCCACTAAACTGCCAATTCAAGGCAGGATCTTAGACTTACTGAATAGCATCTATACTTTTCTTCCAGATGTTTTCAGTCTCCACAGATGACATATGCATATCCAGGCTACACACGTTGGGTTTCTGTGGATAGATCTTCAGACACTGCTTTACCCAGTACTGCTGAGAACCCGGCAGGAATGGGTTGGATATAAAGATAAACCCTACATTCCAACAGTGACAATATAGTTAATTTAATCCCATCAAAAGTAAACAGGAAGACATGGAAGATTCCAATTACGCCATGTTAAGGAGCAAGATTTAAACACGTTTTATACAGTGTTTGTACATCGAGTTTCAAGCAAACCCATAAAATCCTTTACACTCCAGACAACATACAGATTGTTAATTATTCGAAACTGCCACCAGCCTATCTAAACCATACCTGGATATCCATGAAGACCAAATGCCCTCCAGTCTTTTACCGGCCGAAGACCAGCTTTGGAAACATCTTCCTCACTTATAGGAGTGGAATTAAGTTCACAGGTAAAAACCTTGCAAAGCAGACAATTTTGATGACTAGAAACCCAAAACTGAATTTGTGCCAAGTTCTGTAAGCATTTAATATTATACTTGATGCCAGAATGAGTCAATAAACATAGTCCACAGCCAAATTAGTTAATAAATCTAAATCATAAAATATTCTAATTACTGGTTAAAAATTACAATAATATACACAGTTAAGTAAAGACGCATAGTGTCATAAAAATGAATATGGCAATATTCATCAAGTCCGAATGGCTCACCTTGTCATTAGAAGGTCTGGTTTATACAGGTAATCAAATGTTCTAATAACTGACTAATTTCAATAATAATACTATACTACACAGTTTAGGAAAGACTTATAGTGTCAAAGTTAATGAATACTGAAATATTCTTCAAATCTGAATGGCTCACCTTGTCTTTACAAGGTCTGGAGAAATTAATAACCTCACTGAAGTCTGGAGGAGGATTTCTCCTCTTGTAAAGCTTGAACAATTTTCTAAAAGCATCTTCTCCATGCTCCGCTATGGAGGCTGCCATCTTAGCCGTGACCTTTCTACTTCTGACGTCAGCGATGCAAATCTTCGATTTGATTTAGATATATTTATTGTGTAACGTAAATAAAATAACAATTATGAACATAAAATGTATCTTAATGCAATATTTTACGTTTCTAAATTGTACAGATTAATGGAATAAATTATTTTAATGGAAAAACAATTGTATTCTTGTCACGTGGTCACGGGGGTCACCGTCAGCTTCATTCGCAAGGACTAAACATGGCGGCGACAGCAGCAGGCAAGAAGGTGTTTGAGGTATTTGTGTCAAAAGTACCATGGACCGTCGCAACGAGTGAGTAAAAGATGTCATTTAATAAATGATTTTACATCAGATTAAATGAATATTAAGAGTGTAAGTTCATTAAATAAGTCATTATCCTTACTTAACTTCGAAGCATCTTTGATATAATAGAACATAATAATGTTTTGTGTATGTACAACAAATAATTGTCTAATGTATGTTATTGCACTGTGTTCGGTTTCAGAGGAAGTTAAAGAATACTTTAGGCAGTTTGGCCAGGTGAAGAAGTGTCTACTGCCATTTGTAAGTAAGAATGCACGTAGATTTAATGTTTCATCTTGTTAAAAGTCTGTATTGCTGAGATGGTTTCTCTCTTGTCTAACAGGATAAAGAGACAGGTTTTCATAGGGGGTTTTGCTGGATAGGGTTCACTACTGAGGAAGGACTGCAGAATGCATTACAAAAGGATCCTCACATCATTGAAGGAGCAAGGGTGAGCGTCCAGTTGGGAACTAGATGAAGTAGCCATTAGATGTATCTGGTAAACATTGTAGTTTGAACATCTGCATCAAAAATCTCATTTTCTATTTTTCTTTTAATGCAGCTCCAGGTGCAAAAAAACAGAAAGCCGTTTTCTGGAAGAAAATCAAACAAAGAAGCAGAAGACATCTGAAGAGGACATCAGAAATGATCTGATTTCAAGCGTCAAGGGTCTCCAGTAACACAGAATTGTATTTATTGTGGATGTTTCATCACTGGGCGCACTTGTTTTTCAGAAGCCTAATGAGTGTTGATTGCTGTTGTATTGTCTAGTGTTTTTTTTTTCTTCTTATAACGTTTAATGAAATGTGAGTAAAATTAAAAAGATTGGAAAATCATTTGCTGTGTTGGCTACAGATGGCTTTTCTTTGTCAGTCTACTCTTTTTTTTTTTTTTTTCGAAGCAGACAGACTGAAATGGTGTTTTCTTGTAAAACATTCTCCAATCATTTTTTTGTGTGTGTGTGTGTGTGTGTGTGTGTGTGTGTGCATTTCAGCATTTTGCCTTTTACAAAACTTTAAAAGTGCTCTCTAAAAAATAAAAATAAAAATTTCCAAGAATATTTTTTGCTATATTGGGTGAAAGTCTCTTCACATCCTGAATGCAAACAATTTAAAGTGATCTAAATATAAAAAAAATGGACTGTGGAAGTCTCAAGACCGTAAAATGTTTGTCCAATCATTGCATTCGGTCCAAATGCATTGATAGGATGTCTTACCTGCCTGCCAACATATATATATTAGCAGCGCAGCCAATGGCGAGAGTTTGGGGCATATATATATTATATATGACGAGTTCAGATGCAAAAGCCTCTGTGCCGTCTGAAATTTTCTTCTAAAATTAGCATTTTTATCAGGCTCCTATGTTTATGTTCAGTAATTTTACTTTAATGGCAATGTATAGGTCCTTTTCTATGCCATTAAAGTGAAATAACTGAACAATAATATAGGAGCCTGATAAAAATTCTGATTTTAGAAGAAAATTTCAGAAGGCACTTGAGGCTTTTGCATCTGAACTCTTCTCTCTCACATACACACACACACACACACACACACTATATATATATATATATATATATATATATTTGTCGTTCTGCTAACTAGATGACACTAGCAGCGCAGAAATGGCAGAAATCTAGCTTTAATTCCTTATTACTTTTGCATGTAATAGATGAGTGATAACTTGAGTGTTTTATGTATAGCTTATGTTATGCAAATGCATGAGACATTTAATCAGTGTTGTTAATTTATTTAGAGGTTAATTAACTGTCACCAGTCCCCTCTGTGGGACGCCTAAGTTTACTTCACTATATTACAATTAAATCCTAATCTAATCATGGCAAACTATATATCGAATTATATATCAATTGAAAACTTAAAATCTCAAAATTCATCCTTTGAAAACCATTTTAAAATCAGACATTGCATTACCATGAAAATGGTACATCAAAATCATATTACAAAATGTTTTCATTCATGAATTATAAAAATTTAAGCTTGGATAGTGCACTTTCACGTCTATGTTCAAAAATGTGAGTGACAATTAAGGGGTTTTAATCAAGGCTGCCTCTAGGATGACTTTGGTAATGTTCAGGTCACATTATCTGTCCGAGCTCATGTCATCTTAAATCTTGTCACGCTCCATCACTACCCTGTCCTCTTCACCTGAAAGAAAAATTGTACATAATGTGTTTACGTTTTAAAATAGATCTGTTGCCTGAGGTTCCCTGTAAGAAGAATGTTGTTGAAATCGTTTACCTTTTTTTTTTTT